CAAACCATAAACAGGTGATAGCGAAATATTACTTTACAAATAAGGAACGTTCACTTTGGAAAAGATGAAGAAGAAATAATTTCTTTTCTTATACAGTATAGTTTCAGTTGGCCATCATTTTCCATAGTCAGTAAAACTTCCAAACATGAAACAGTTGTGGCACATTCAGTGGTGATCTTAATTTAAAGTACACTGGGATATATCAAGTCGACATATGAACTAAAGTAACTATTGTTACTTGATCATACGTCAACGGTGTATCTAAATGATGAGTTGAACCCCACAGGAAATATTTTTTCTTGCCATGAAAAGATTTTTAAAATATATTCTGATTCTGCTTCATAGAAATATAAAAACAGGTCGGCCAATAAATGTGCACAATTAGTGCCCATCGATATTCTAGCCCCCACACCACCTGTTCCCAACGCCTATGGATTAAATCACTGTTAAAAATTGTGAAAACCTAGTCATAAATATGTCTTTTTATGCTGTTGAATTTAGAAAGAGTTTCATGATCAAAATTCCACGACCCTACTCAGTTTTCAGCGGACTAGGGTCTGAATTCAATACCTTTGGTCTCAGTATTCAACGTTGAAAAATGACCCACGGGTCAGTTTTCAACTCGGGTCAAAATTCAACGTAACACTCGCCCAACAAGTAAAATGCGAGGTTTCACTTTCAAATTACGAAAGATTCCGGCAAATTTTAGCTATAAAAATATCTATATGCAATTTTTGAATCATCTGTATAAAAATACATGAAAGGGAAGAGAATATTTTTCTTCTTATATCCGATTTTTGATTTGGACTGCTGGACTGATGTTCTCCGAACCTCCACGCTTTTTGTTGCCAGAAGATCAAAAAAACCATATGCAGGCATTTGAAAGAAAAATATTCCGAAAAGTTGGAGCCCTCTCCCATTGAAATAGAATTTAAGGTGTGGTGCGCAGGTTGCTTGTTTGGATTAAATATGAAGAATAAATTATTTTTACATGGAATAGACTAATGAGTTTTAGTCATATCTCTATGTAACTACGTAGTACAGAATGTTGTATTTTGGTTACCTGATAATTTTTCACTTACTTTTCTCACTTTTATTCTGAAAAGATGAAGGATGAACAATTAATCGAAAGTATGGTAATAATTAGATAACAGGAATACTCAATTAATTAAAAAAGTATTCTTAACATTTTTTTTTAAAAAATTTAAACTTAATTGAATGTAGTTATCGAGATTTCTCTTGTAAGTGTATAATTTTTATTGTTAGAAAACAACATGTATAATAAATATCCTGAATTTTATTCAAGATTTTTTTCAGCACACTGAATATATTCGTTTTTTTTTCTTTTCTTTAGCTTATATCTTTTAGAAACCGGGACTCCGAAATTCTGAAATTTCTTTCTTTTAAATTAAGTATGGAATAAATAATTTCAAATTATGAAATCTCTATCTGTTAGATTAACTGTGGAATAAATAATTTCAATTTAAAAAAAATAGAAGGTAATCGGATCCTGCGGTTTGGCCAATATAATGCTCATCACATCCAATAAAATGCTCACCGCATCCTGAACATGTAGTGAAATACATCTGATCAAATTGGAACTCTCGCAGGAAAAAGAAGAATGAATGATGAATTTCCTTCCGTTTTTAAAAACTAAACTGTTGGGTTTCCTGTAAAAAGAGACAGCTTCCAAATCTTCGGTGCTGTTTCTTCTGTGTTGTTAAATTTGGCTTGTGTTAAAATCTTCTTTGAGGAGTGGACCTGTCGTATACTTTTGATTAACTGAAATTCACTAAATACGTCTTTCATTCTTGGATCATTCTCTAAAATATTCATGTTAGTTTTGATGACTTGGAAGAATTCTTGACTTTTTGGGTTGTGTGTAGATACGTAGGGAATAAGATTTTTTCCGGTTTTTCTTTTATCTGAGGTAAGCTGTTTCTGGCATGTAGCTTGGCGTTGTCATTCCTTTTTCAATCAGTAAGGAAGGATAATGCCTTTGTTGTAATAACTCCCGTAACTCATTAAGTATACAATTTAAAATATCCTTGTTTGATATTATGGTAAAGAGTCGTCTGGCTAAATTATATGGAATATTGTTCTTGATGTGTTTTGAATGCCAGGAATCGTAGAGAAGGTATTATGTTGCGTCCATGGCCTTGTAATGTGCATCAGTTTCGATTTCTCATATTTTTTCATAACCATTATATCTAAAAATGGTTACTTGAATCATCACTTCATCACTTTCCATTAAAAATTTTAAGTTAGGGCTATTGCTTTTCCAGAAAAAAACCTCAAATCTGCATATATATTGATGCAACGTCATGAATTGTGAATTGTGTTCATGAAAAGAATTCTGATTTAATGATATGGGGCAAGACATGAAAGGAAATAAGGATGGTAGACCAATAGAAACACACCCAACCAATGTTATAATGAGAGTTTGTCACCTGTTGCCATCCTAGAACTATAAAAGACTCGGGATTTTTGATTGGAAGCATTCTTGTTACTACAAAGAATCGGATCGCAGGTAAGTGCAATCTGAACTTTAAAAATGAGGGAAACATTTTAAAAGTCTACCAAAAGAGTTTTCCTTAACTTTATCTTTTCCGAATGATGAAATAAATGTATGAATAATAATAAATAATAAGAAGAAAATGTGAAAAGATTCGTTTAAGTAAATTGTAAAAATTTAAATATCTTTGCAGAATTATCCTTAAATCTAAGTTTAAGGAAAGCAAAAATTAACCGAGATATTAAAGACAAAATTCTTGGAGTTATACCTAACAAAAACGTCTCGGAATTATATCTACCCAAAAAAAATAATTATCACATACAGATATTATTCATAAAGTAAATGTGAACCGTGGCATTCATTTTTTTCTTCCATATTCAATTTTTAATCGTCTTAAATACAGTTGCCTACCTAGACAAGGTAATTTTACTATGTTTCATATTGATCCGAAATTATTAAAAACGTATAAAGATTATAAAAAAATGATACTATTTTTTTTGTCAGTCAAAATGAACGCCTTGATTGTGTTAGCCTCTGTTCTGGTATCCTGTTATGCTGGTAGGAACGGCGATGGGGGATATGGCGGAGTAAAGGTAGGAGGATTAGTGGGACTTTTAGAAGGAAGATTGCTTGGAGGAAGAGATGGAGGTTTTGGAGGAAGAGGAGGAGGTTTAGGAGAACGGCTAGGAGGAATTGAAGTAGCAGGAGGAGGAAGATGGTTAAAAGGTGGTGCATAAATTTGGTTGATAACATATCATATAAAATTTCATTTTTTTGTTCCTTTTTTTCAAAAAAAAAAAAAAAACTGCAGATTTGTTACACCATTCAGAAGAGAAATCTTCATTCATATACATGTACATAAAACAACCTGACATGATAGATAAAAGAACATGAACAATTCAATTGTAGTTGTAGCACGTCATTTGATTGTATAAAGATTTAGTTTAAATCGTATAACGTAGCGGATATCCGGGTTTTTTCACGATGATCTTTTTTTTCACATTTTTTGCAATCATATTTAATTCGCAAAATATAAAACACGCAAAAATTATGTCAGCTATAATCTTACATAAAAGCATTACCATTTAAACACAAAAATCTTCAATCGTAAAAAAATAACTTACGCATATAAACTGTTCTTATCTACCCCCCTTTTCGCAAAATTTCAAACACGCAAAAGAAAACTAGAGGTACTGTGAGCAATGAGGTCACTAAATGATACCCCCCGCCTCCCATATGAATAAAATGGCAGTGTCCATGTTTTGCTCTGAAAAATCCAAAATATATGTCAGATCAAAAAGTAAAATAGGAGGTGCACAATGGCAATATGTAATAAAGATTCTCTGAAAGTTTCATTAAATTTCACTCAGTGGTATAAGAGGAGTTGCGGATAAGAGATGGGTACCCCAAAGCGTAACAGACGGACGGACGGACGTACAGACGGACGGAATTAACGATTACTAAATACCCTCCCGCTTTTCAAGCGGGGGTATAAAAAACGGATATACGATAAGTTGCCTACGTGACAATGAGTCACGTAAAAAATTATTTCTCTGCCAGACGTTACTTTGAAAATATGCTTAATTTGAAGCCATTTCTGTAGGGAAAATTGTCTAAATGTCTACACTGATATTAAATCATAAGGAATAAAGCTTATTATAATCTACGTTATACGCTATAACATAACTTTGGGCAGATTATTCTTTTCGATTAGCCATTGAACTTTTCTGCAATGAAGTTTTTTTTTTCTCCTTAACTTCATCTTCTTTCTCTCTCTAATCAGAATCTCGTATTAAAATTGTATAACATAGGTTAAGATAAGCTTCATTCCTTAATTGATTTTTTCGGTATAAGTAATGTGATAAACGATAACTCTAATTATGATTAATTAATCTTAATAGATGTTTCAGTTATGATGTCTTTTATCTTGTAGAGATCAAATATGGGACTTGTCCTTCGGTCGGTGAAACAGACTCTCTACAAGTGGGACGTCCTTGCTCTAATGACGAGTATTGTCCCGGGTCACAGAAATGTTGTTTGAATAATAACTATGGAAGGAGATGTCAAATACCAATTGAATATCAAAAACCCGGTAGAGGCAATACCTTCCTTATGATGTATACTTCCAAATCAACATGAAGAGCATGCAATGATGACAACCTTTGTCCTTGAAGATGGAAATGCTGTAAACGATTTTCATCTGGTCAACTCGACACTTGTACTTCCTCGAATCTTATCCTTCCGTCTTCTTTGGTGCAGGTGGAGGTTAAAAGTACTTTGAAAATGCTGTACAGATCGATCTATGCTTGAAGTCTTCACCTGAAATTAAATAAAATAAAAGCTTACTACATTTACAACATACTACGGTATCTTATCTTTTTCTTCAATTATTTGGGGAAATTTATAAATAGAATATTATTACAATTTCTCATTATTGATTTTTAGCAATCAAAACGATATAATTATTTTGTGTTTTTTCATTGAAAAGAGAAACAAATAAAGCATTAAACTTACCTATACTCTCTTTGTGAAACACTGATGCCCCTTTATGGCAGCTTATGGCGAGGGTTGAGGATAGTTAAATGCTAGTCAACCAAGCTAGGATAAAGTCAAAACGCAGGACAGTAAAGGTGACAAATGGAAATATCGGCGATTTTTTAAAAATAAAATGCATACTTTATAAGGATGGGTGATTGTCTTTAGGACTTACTGAAAAATGTGATGTGGTTCAAATCTACATGTCTAGGATATTTAAGAGGCAGTCCACCGAAAAACCAGGCAGTACTGTATTAATAGGCGGTACATCGAATGTGAGGAATATTTGATATTTTATTAAAAACAATATCAACGTAGTCCAAAAGGAATAATGTAATTGAAGATTTGTTTGAAAATTGCTTATTTAGTAAAATATCCTTTTTTGTGTTTTTGAATTCCCCGGTATAAACCATTGAATGTAGGTCAGCAACAAAGAAGTGTAATTTCTAATACATTTTTAATAGGACTATGCTTCACATTTAACTAAATCTAGAAATATTTCATCTCTTTGTTTAAAAAATAAAATCAGTGGGAGAAACACTTTTGATAGTAGTTTTCTGGCAAAATATGTAGACGTTTTTATGAAATTTTGCGATGCAAGAGTTATCTCCCGTGGCATCGGTAAATCTTATCGAAACCCTAGTGAAATATTAAGAATCGATAAACTAAAGAAAATTATTAAACAAAAAATAACTAATTTATTTTCAAAATATAATTCATTTTTGCCTCCAAACGTAATATTAAGATTAAAATTGGCTCTATTATTCAGGTTGAATTCACGTTTCCATTGATGTATCAGTGACGTCATATACCTGACTAATAATGCGTCACAATGAAATAGTTTCAAGTTTTCCAGAGAAGTTTGTAAATTCTTTGCGTAAAGATGTAAAGAAAAAAATTGAAAAAAAAGATTTCTCTTTTTCTGTTTAATTACTCTTCAGAGTGCATTAGTCATTAGTCTAAATGTTAAATAATATTTATACCCCCCGCTTGAAAAGTGGGAGGGTATATTGTAGTCGGTATGTTCGTCCGTCCTTCCGTCTAGCTGTCCGTCCGCCTGTCTGTTATGCTTTGGGGTACCTATCTCTTATCCGCAACTCCCCTTATACAACTGAGTGAAAATTAATGAAACTTTCACATAATTTTTATTACATATTGCCATTATGCACCTCTTATTTTACTTTTTGATCCGACACATACTTTGGGCTTCCCGGCCAAGCAAAACATGGAGTTTGCTATTATAACCATATGGGATGCGGGGGTATCATTTAGTGAGCTCATTGCTCACAGTACCTCTAATTTATTTTGATTTGCCTGCATAGATAAAATATAGATTTATTGAGTTAAATTACTGCTGAACTCCCCACTATAATTTGGCACTGAAACGGAAGGTGGTTTAGTGAAACATTTCATTTTTTTAATTTAATTTTTTTTTTATTTGGCGATTGAAACAATCACACACTCACATTTAATATGGAGTTTAAACACACGACTATGTTGACCAATTCTAAAATGTTTTCACGTTCATGAAACCAATTCTTAAGAATAATGATGTCAGGATCCCCCCCCCCCCCCGCGTTTTGTTTGCGATTTATCGGCTCTTAAATAATGATACTATATATGAAAGAACTTATTTTCTTATTTAAATATAATTAATTTTGTAAAAAAAGAAAATATAGGGGAAAAGGCTTTACAGATGACAGGTAAAAAAAAACTTCGATAAAGTCGAGACTGCAAGAAAAATATTGTCTGTATTTAGGCAAGTGTAATTTCGCCACTGATAGAATTTAAATCTTTAATTCCTGAGAAAATGAAAAAAGAAATTTTACTTGGAAATAAGAAAAATAATGAAGCAAGAACGCTGTCTGCTCTCTGCTGTTTCATAGGCCTAATGCATGCATGTACAATTTAATACTTATTTTTAAATACCGAGTGTCAAGATATCAAACAAATGTTTTACCTGTAATCTTATACATTTAAATCTATGGTTACACTCATTTAAAAACAGTAAACTGACTGAAAAGAAACAGAAGACAAGCATATTTTTCTGATAAATTAAAATGAAGAGCCAAATTCAGGAAATATTTCTAAATTTAAGTTAAAACCGATCCTGATTGAAAATAATGCAAAATTAATAAATTTATCAAACTAAAGGCACCTGCCACCTATATTACATGTAAAAAAAATTAAATCAAGTAATTTTTTTGATCATATTACAACAAAAGAGCCAAATTTAACATTACAATTATAGTATTTTCTTCTTTACATAATTCCAGTCGGGATCGGTTTTGTTTGGGAAAATAAAAAAAAAAGAAGTAAATTTGAGTCCTTTTCTTTATTTCAATATACATGTACCTGTTCCCACTGATTTTATTGAGTGACTCAAAGGTTATCTAATAAACAAGCTTTATGATAAAGGTGATGACTTAATTTTTCAGTCGTCAACTTCCCTTATTTATGCAGCAATATACATTAATCACCTCCATACGGATCCGGAGTTTATATCTCTCTGTCGATTCGATACGCAAGAGCATGCTCTGCATATGTAAAATTCTTAAAACGAGGTAAATTATTCACAAACAAGTTGATGAAACAAGAATATCTGCTTTCTCGTTTAAAAGCATCATTTCGTAAGTTCTATGGTCGATACAATGGCCTTGTCAGCAAATACAATTTATTATTGAGTAAAATGCTGACTGATGCTTTTCATACTAATTGTTATACAATTATTTTTACACAGAATGAACGAGGATTTTCCGTTATGTCCCGATCATAACATGTAACACAAGGCTATGTGACCGGTCGGCAGGGGATGCTCATTCCTCAATGACACCTGATCCCACCTCTGATGTTTCGGAGGTCCGTGTTCGCCCTGCTCCTGTTTTGGATCGTTATCTCCATATATTTCACGTAGCTACTAGTATTTCATTTTTCATTGTCAAATGGTTAAAAAACAGTGTGACTTCTTATAAACCGTTATACTGCCACATATACTGATATTTATGATAATAATGTCTACGAGCTGACCCACTGTTTAAAAAACTTAGTTTAAACGTGTAAAGAAAGGTTTATTATAATAATATATTTTATTTTAAGGTTTTGTTTGTAATGATACATGTATATTCGACATTGCACGTGCACTGACCATCAGGTGAATATGACATCAATTCCACTGAAATTGAATGGCTATAAATGTATGGACAATTTTCTGTTGTATAGATTATAATGGGACATTCAAAATGCCACATGCTAATGTTTAATTATCACTGAAATAATTATATTGTCTCTGATGCTATTTCAAATCAAATCAACACAAAATTTAATGACAAGACACTCTTTGGTGGCCAACCGTGGTTTCTTTTTGGTACTTTTCAGAACCATGCATCTTACATAAACCCAGTTATAGTTTAGTTGACTATCTACATATTTCAATAATAATTTCAATAACAATTTTTCGACGAAAACATGCTATAGTACTGAAAAATGTTCATTAAAAATATGACCATGCATCCAACATGTAGTATAATTGTGTTTAATGCGAAATTTAATCAATCTCTTTATCTAAATTTAAATTATAAACATCCAACTCAATTTTTGGCTGATAACAAAACAAAAGTCAAAGTCAAAATGTGCTAGCAAATATGATGCGACATCATAGGCGGATCCAGAGGGGAGGTTCCTGGGTTGGAATCCCTCTATTATTTTTGCAGGTAGAGAGAGGGGGATGTAGCATAGATATTTTACGTCTAATATTTTTAATGAAATAAGTACACTTTACATGATGTTCAATCTCTGTCCCTTCTGATCGCTAGATGGAGTTTCCCCGTTTTGCTTTCCTCTGTGTACCTAATGCAAATCCCAGTAACGTTGAGTATTGACCCGAGTTGAAAATTGACCCGGGGTTCATTTTTCAACGTTGAATATTGAACCGCTGGTGTTTTTTCTCCGTTGAAAATGAGACCAAAAGAATTTATACCCGGGGTTATTTTGTCAACAGCTTGACAATTTTTTTCTGATCCCTGATGACCCCATTAAGTTGAAAATTGACCCTGTTAAATATTGACCACACCTCAGAGTTTGAACAATTTTTTTTTTAACCGGGACGTTTTTTTACGGAATTTATCATCATCTATATATTTATATTTCGGTTTCAATTTTTTCCCTTTTCAAGAATAATAGAAGTAAAACCATCATCCCCTGTATATATGTACATTTTGATAAGTACACGATTTTAGTTATCTTCAAGCATGACAACTTTATTTTTTGACAATACTTTCTAAAATCCATAGCATCCATGAATAACTACAACACTATGAATAGGGCATAAAACAAAAATCCTGGAAATCTGGTGTCTAGAAAGTGAGCCCATTATATACATGTATTGATCAAGTGGGCAGAACATTCCATCAAGTCAAATTCAGTATAAAAATGAACAAAGTTAATAGCCTAAAAATTCGAATGAATCACATGCCAAAATGAATCCAATGATAGGTTATATTTGTGAAAAAGATCAATATAGCAACCATAGCATGTAAGTAATGCTGACTTTAAACAAAGTAGGTAAAATCTCTGTAACAAAGTGAAACTTATATGTCAGTAGCCTGCCTCGGCTTAAA